GCTCTCTCTCTCTCTCTCTCTCTCTCTCTCTCTCTCTCTCTCTCTCTCTCTCTCTCTCTCTCTCTCTCTCAGTCTGTGTAACTATCTGTATGGTTTACTATAGCCTCTTCGGTCTCTATCATTCCGAGGTCTTATTACATTCTATACTTAAAAATAACTATTATAAATAATAATAACCATCTTTATTGATATTGTTAGTAATAACCGTATTTTTTTTAAACACTGACTGTCTTTCAATTGATCAAAGAAATCATTTTTTGTTAAATTTCGCCTAGATAATTCTAAAATTGTATAATAAAATACAATGAATTATTTAATTTCATTACAAATATTTTCATTTATTTTATTAGATGAATATGGTGACCTATACTGCGGCGATTAATACTATATTAAAAATGAAATTTTATTCTTTAATTGTATAAGAAATGATCACCGCCTTTCAAGTTGTACATCTGTTTAAATCTTACGTTTATACAAATCTCAAACTTTCTAAAAATATATATAAATCTAATAAGTAGAGCAAATAAATGTTCAATATTATTGAAGCATGAAGATAAAAATATTTAAAAAGTATTATTTTTAAATCAACTAGAGTAATGCATTAAGATGGACAATAATGGGCCATTAAGTTCATGACACTCGTTACATTAGTTTATAAATCAGTGAAATTATTTGAAAGTTCTTATAATAAAGTGTCGAATTAAAGATAAACGTTTAATTTCTATTAATAAAATTTAATGCAAAGACACCCTTCGTTTTTTCCTACTATTGACAATTATTTTCATAAATGAATTCTTATAAAATTTTCTTTATAAATTCTATTATATATTTATAGCATATAATATTTGTCAACAGATTTGAAACAATTTATTGCAAAATGAAATTATTGAATACTTAAGATAGAACTTAATATAATAATAATATGACTGAAAATATTGAGTTAATCTTATATGAAATTAAAAAATTTGTAGGAATAATTTTTCTTACATTAAAATAAATCTTTTTTTAACTTTTATAATAAAATTAATTTAGCGATAAAATAGATTTTGTACTAAACAAATATTTTCAATTTATTAAATTAATTAATCAAAAGTTAAATAACGATATTATATTTTATTTAACATTGTTATGTGCCACATCCTATATTAAAAATTTTGTAATGTGCACTGACAACATAAATCTTTGGTTACGTAAGTTAGACCAAAATGTCTACGCAACATGTATTTTGAAATTGAACTTCATTATCTATTCGAATTTAAAGTATCAATCATTCACGATGATTATTAAATTAGTTCAAGGTAATTTAAAATATTTGACAAATAATGTCAATATTTCACTTTTTCATAAACATTGACGATTTTATGAGATTATTTCTCGTTGAGCGGATGTTGATATTGAAGTCGACATTTAAACATTGTGATTATCAGACGCATGAATAAAAAGATTATTTCTTTTCATTCTTAAACGACAGTAAAGTACTTTCCAAAGTTATAAGGAGAAGTAAATTCTGGTCTCCCTACCTATACGAAGTTGTTCAGTTGAAAGGAGAACAAAATAAATCCCGTTGAACGCTAGAGCACACCAAGAGCTTAACTTGTGGAAGTTCACTTCTAACACTTCTTTCGTTAGTTCTTGTCATCATGATCAGCATAAATCATAAGCACAAGAAGGTAGCTTTATATACTTCAATTTATGAGCTACAAACGAAAATATCTTTTGATACAATACTGATGCTTATCAGACAACTGCAGAGTTTGGAAAAATTATAATTTATTCAAAATTTGTAAACAACCAGTATTAAATTTACTTAAACATTTAGCTCATTGCTTCCAGTGTGTCTAATATACTTTATGTAATTGCTCACCTATTATACACACATAATATACACTATGTAAAGATATTATAGAAGATGGGTATTTATATATATATATATATATATATATATATATATATATATACATATTAAGTTTTTTTATAAATTATTCCACATGTTTATTAAATTAAATGATAACTATATGTTTAATGTAATATTTTCTGATTAAAATTCAAATAAAAGGAAATAAATTATTCGGTATTTAAATTTGACAATTATATTTTTTAAATATCAATGTTTAAGTAGTAATAAATTTTATTATTTTGTTAAAAATTGTAAGTCTATTTACATAATTTAAAAAAGCACTGTTAAAATTGAAAAATAATCCTTACCTCCCATATATTTAATATCATACTTGTACCACAGTAAGGTTATTATAATTTTTAATGTAATTCTTATTGATCATTCCCATTTGTTTTAAAGATTTGCAAATATCTCAAAAGATCGATATTATTCAAGTAATCAAATTTCAAGTCTTTTATGTTTGAAATTCAAAATTTCTCTTTCTATTAGATAAATTAATATCGTAGTGTAATCTCAGAGTTAAATATACATCGGAAAAATTATTTTAAATTGCATTTGTTATAATTTTTAATTTTTATTTAGAACTTATCGATTATTTGTCGATAAAAATATTCAAACGTCATAACAAATCGAAAGATTTTCTTTTATATCCTATTTTACATTTGAAACTATAAGTAATATTTATTATTTATTGAGAATTCTCAAAAATGCACATTGTATTTTATAAAAAAAAAAGTGGTAATAGATTAATCATTTAATTAGATTTTACTAATGGAGTTATAATAATTAGAATCAATGACATGATTTAAATAAATAAATTTTTTTATATTAGCACTTAAGAAATTGAGTCTAGGGTAATACATTTTTATAATAATCAAACTTTTATAATGGAAATGAATTAAAGTTTATCTTGTTAAATAATTTGCATATATTCTATATTATTTAGTCCTCGGACATTATAGCAGATACATAAAAGATATTTTATCATTAAAAAGATACAATCCGACGACAAATACATGCAACTGACTCAACAGACATTGCTTGTTCTTAGTTTCATCATTATGTTTTAAAAATTTTAAATATTTAGTTTTTTTAATCATAGAATTGCATTGCTTTAAAATAAAATATGATAAACATACTTGTTCAGTTATTGTAATTACAGATGCAGAAAGTTTAAATGCTGAAAAATGATTAAATTTTCTCTACGCAAAGAATATTTATGGCATAAATTATATAATTTTATAAAATAATTCTTACATAATTATTAAAATTTGATAATATAATAAATACATAATGAATATAATTCAATAATATAATTCAATAATAATTAATACTATGGGTAGAATAAAAAAAAAATTGATACTAATCCTTCATTGTATACAAATAAAATAAAATCATATATTAATTATTCGTTCACATCTGAATAAAAATATACATTATATATAATATAGAATTTTAATGAATTAATAGTCAAATCAAGTGCATATAAATTTTCACTTTCATTTTCCGTAATTTATAATATTCCATAAAATAATAGCTATACAAAAATTAATACAATAGGCATATTATCCAATATTCTGAACTTATAAGACTTTAATTTTTAAAATATTAACAATATTATCTGAATATAGAAATTTTACATTTTCATCACACATATTCATAAATTCAAATAGATTATAATATAGTCTATGCAAGTGTTCATCACCGTGACATGTTTATTAGAAATACAATACATATTACAGAATAAATTGTAAATAACAAAATATTTCATTCTTTATCTTTGTATGATTTTATTTTTCTAAAGAATGTATGAAAGATGCAGTATAAACTAGTATATTCGATGTACTCTTCAATGTCAAAAAAATTTAATTTAAACTTTCTTTTGTAGAAGTAGAAGGAAAATCTGTGCTTTTGAATACAAGTAATGTAGGAACAAAACATTAAACAGTAGTATTTATTTGCACAATGCACTGTGTCGTATATAAATCAACGTTTTTACACAATTCTCGGGCACGACTAAATTCCAATATAAACACGTAATTTTACACATAAATAAAATAGCCGTTTAAAGGGTTTAGGTATTTTAAGAATAGATTTTTGTCCAGTGCCTCGGTATAAATTACGTTAAAACATCGAACAACATTATCAATGATAAATGAATGATTAAGCTCACGAAAGATTTACTGTAGAGAAAATGAAATTTCGGTCATCAAACCCTACCGATAATTCACACCGACAAAATGGTTTTCAAACAACGGCCTATAACTAGAAATAATACATGACAGAAATAACCGGGAAACTCTTTGGTCGTGACTTATGCGCCCGTTGCATTCTGTACTTATAAAGCCAAATACCTGCCAAATGATAAATTAGAATTTGTCGCGCGAACAAAAGCTACGGAATATCAAAGTGATTACAGTCGATTTATTTGACATTACAGAGGCTGATCTACCTGTCGAGAGGTCGTTCAGCCCGGAAGCCCAGGCCACGAGGTAGAGTGCGGGAATGACGAGAGCGAGCATTGCGATGTGGATGGCGCGCCTACGTTGACTGGCATCCGCCGGCGTGGCGAACCATCGCCGAACCGCACATTCTCTTTCCACCCCCTCGCGGGATTTTGCCGCCAGTGGCGACGCGCACGCGCACTACGGCACTGTAAATTTTATTTGCCGAGGGGGCGAAGCGTGGACAACAGGCTGGGAATAATGGGTAATACACATGCTTATTACTTTGTTTGCCGAGGGATCGAAAAACCTTTTTAGGACGACGAAAGATCTCGTAGCGTTTCCATTGGTTGTTTGTTGCGTAAAATATAATAAAAGCAGGAAAATCATGGATCGTAATGGGTCTGCTATTGAAAGGTGTAATAATCACGAAATATGTAAGATGTCATGCAATGTATATTTTAAATATACTAAGACTCATATTAACTTAATTACAACTGGCAATTCACTATCTATTACTAAGTATTGCTGTAGAATCCTTTGAACAACTTTTAAAACTTTAAAGAATTCACTTGCATTTTATACAAGAAAATATAAAAATATATATATATATATATATATATATATAATATTAAGTGTATTACAGTAAGGAAAGCCCCGTTTTGCCTTATTATTCCTATAAATGGAACATCTTAATTAATTAATGGAAATGTGCACTGAGATTGGTAGAAATTTTTCTTAGCATGTTTCATGGATTAAAATGACAGCGGAATAAAATACTTTAAAATACTCTATTGAGTCAATGTTTCTTAAAAGCATCGATACATTACACATAATTCAATCTCAAATAAGAGTCTTTCAGAATTCATTTAATAACATTGTTGAAAAAATAAATAATATAATATATTTCTTCGCAACATAAACTAGATATAATGTTAACAGTATATTGTGATGAATTCCTGTTTTTTATTTACAATAAAATTTCCGATTAATGTAATGTTAGTCTGTGAAAGATAAAAAATTTTCACCAAAATTATTTACAAATAAAAACCTTGATTCTCTTGAATATCAATTATGTTGTTCAATTATTATAATTTTAATCCATTATATAAAAATCATAAGAGGAAGACTGATTAAAAATATAAAATAAAATTCATTAATAAAACAGATTTGGCCTGTACTTTAAGATTATAGCTTAATGTATAGCCATACGAAAATAAAACTGCATGCTCCATAATTTTCTCAAAAAGAATTATTTTCAAGCCTGAATAAAATCATGCAATAAATTGTCATGAAATATCTTATCTGCTACTTAGCAAGGTACTATAGCAATTAATTATAAATTTACTTTAAATTAGAAAAATATGTCTTAAAAAGTAGAGTAGAAAATTATTTATTTTAAATAGAAATAAATAAAGAAAAATACAATTCAATGATGAAAAATGCAATAGTTTATCGATATGTGCCTGTTTTCAATTATTGGTAATTAATTATCTTGCAAAAATTAAAAATTTTCTTATATCCTTGTTAATAATTATTGCAATTAGGCTACTCTTATACCTACATTTCTATACGGAAATAACAAGAAATAGGGGCTCAAATGAAAAAATTATAAATTATTGTTATTATTCTAAACGTATTATAAATAAAAAATAAAATACAATTACTTTATTAAAATGCGCAATAATCCGATAAGAAATTTTTCGAATATTAATTTTTTTTATTCAAATTTAATCTTCATTCTTAAAATTATAATTATTATTTTAAATTAATACTTTTCACCGTCTGTAGTTAGAAATTGAATTTTTCAATATTACGTACAATATATATATATATATATATATATATATATATATATATATATATATATATAACGAAAAAAAAAAACATTTTTTCACAAAATGTGATGCATTGTGCTCAGCATGTACATAATTACATACCTATTAGATTCAAATGTAATATAATATATAATGCATATTAATATTTATGAAATACCGATAGTTGTAAAATTAGAATAAAAATAGGTAGGGGAAAGTACATAGTACAGAATGGCAGCTGTAAAAAGAGAGGTGTGAAAAGCTTTTAAATTACACTAACCACGAACAGTATACTTATAACTTAATACACACGTACACATAATCCATAGAATGTACTTCCTCTTGAACGTTGGCACGCAAACGCGCGTAAGCACATGAAATATTCAAACGCGTTGACGGTGGCGGTGTAACATATGTGTACAGATAACCATCGAGTGTGTGCTTTCCCAAATTTTTGTAATAAGAAATGTATCTTATGCTGATGCCCATTTCGTGACTTGGTTAATTTGATTAATTTTCTTGGTCAATATGACGATACCTTTCATTTTATTGTTTTATCGATCATAAGATATTTTCAGTTCTTCTATTAAGAATGATGAGCATGTTGAATTGCAAATGGCTTTTGTGTTAAAAGTATAATGATCATCATATAATTGATTTAATTCATCAACAGACGTCAATGCTTCAAGTAATAAAGTAATAAAAGATAATATTTTAGTTACTTTTGAATCTAAAAGATAAGAAACCTTTTCGAAGTGGAACACCAAATTGATAAAATATATAAAATGAAACTATGCATTATTCATTCAAATATATGATTCTTTGTTGAATTTTTTTTCTTTTCTTTTTTTTCTTTTTTTTTTGTATATATAATATTTGAAATATTTAATTCAATGTTTTAAATTAATTTGCACGTATTATTACTATAAATTTCAGCACAACAACTGATCAACAAATGAACAAATTTCAAGATATGTAAAATTAAAAAAAAATGTTAATATATTGGCATTTGAAGGTGATGGATGTATGGTTTAAAACTTTTAGATATAATATCATCATGATATTACAATAAGATGATAACCAGATAAATAAAATAACCAAGATAACAAAATAAGATAATAAATTATTTTTAATGAAGCAGTTTATGGTGATATTTCTTATGTTCTGATACTTCTACCAAAAAAATAATCAAATTTCTTAGAAAACAATTAATCCTCATTTAATATATTTAAAGGTCTAAGTTATACATTATTATTCCCTAATGAGATCGGAAACACCATTGAGCATAGTTTTTAAGTTTTTAAGATTTTATATATTTATAGCGTATTAAGTAAACCAAATTGTAATTCAACAATTTGCAAGTATAATATATTTTTAATAGCAATGTGCTGAAAATAACGTATAAGCACCGTAACAGAATACAGAGTTTTCGTTATTGAAATTGTAAAATAAACTAACCAAAATATAATAATAATAAAAATAAAAACTGGATTAAGTTCAAACTTTATTTTGAAATTTTTCTTTATTTTATTTATAATTTTATTCGGTATTTTTTACATATTAAAACAAAACTTATCAATACAGCAATAATGTTAGAAATTCTTCCATAAATAAAATTTAAAAATAAAAATTAATTTTGTAATTTTCTATTTAAGAGGAACTAAATAAAGTGTCATTTATATTTGTTGAAAAAGATATTCAAACATTTATATGTATACATCCTATTTCTTTGGTATACTATTTCCGTCGAGTTAATTGGGTTGTTGAAGGACGAAGAATAAGGTTTGCGTTTAAACAACTCGACATAGTTCTACACACATATATATATATATATATATATATATATGGAATACAAGGTAAATTTAATATTTTTGACAATACATAATATATGGAGGAGTTTTTTTCTCTCTATTATTCTAAAAAAAAAAAGAACTAATAAATTTACTCATACTCTAGAATAATAATAGTAAAATCAATGTTAATAAACTTATTATTTTTCAATAATGAAAAATCAGACGGTTGTAATTTAATTTTAATAGATCAAACGTTAATGTAATTAGCAATTCTTATGTGATAAAAATTCTTCTTACAATATATATTTATTTATTGGCTTTGCTTTATAAGCTCGATAGCATTAAAGTTATTATACCGTTTTTATTACAAAAGGAATATATTTTTATGAAATTAGTATGAAGCTAACATGTATAAAGTAACGCATTAATGATAATATAAATGGCGTTGAATGGAATGAAATAAGGCTAATTAATATATTGTCTTTTACTATTATATTATTGACTAAAGGAATTTCTATGATGAAAAGATCCATCCTTTTACCTTTCGTTATAGAACCTGGACTTGGAAGTTCACAGCTCTGGGATTAAGGGATGCATTAGTTCCAGATAGCTTTTCCATCAGACGAAGTTATATGCTGAGAACGTACTTTCACCGAAATGATCACCTTTAAAATATTCAATTAGATGGCCATTCGGCAAATCTCTTGAGAATCGCTCGCGCGGAAAAAGATGGATCAGTTTAAGACACTGTGCGATCAAGTGGTAACACTTTCTACCTAAAAAGTAGTATGAATTTCCTGAATTCCATCTTTATTTCCTTCCTTTAAGACATTCAATTTTCTCATAAAGATAAAAAAAAATATTAAAATTAAAATTGTGAGGAACTACTATCCTAATTCAATTAGACATAAACTGTTTCGTAATATATTTTTAATTTGTAAATTAATTATAAAGTATGTGTCATAAAGTACTTCAAATTAAATTAATTAGTACCATAATTATCTATCACATAAATTTTAATTTAATTCTTTTACGAATTCATAAAATATTATACATTGAGATGAGTTCAGATTGAAAAACAAATATTAAGGTTATTAATTATCTACGATTTTATGAATTTTCAGATCATTTCGTAATAATAACTTCATAGTCAGTTCACATCTACTTATTCTCTGTTCATAAAAATATTACACTTATTTATGTAATAAATTATCATGGTAATTCTCGGTACTAACGATTAAAAGTGAAAATAATTACTTTTATTCAATCAATCAAAAATTTTATGACGGCATATTACACCTTTATAATAAACTATTATGCTTTCCGATCTAATATGGTTTACCGAATACTAAAGAATATAATAAAAAACATTGTTGATATACATGAAATTTAAATTAAGCTATTCAGAATAATTTAAAAATATTAAAGCCTTAATCCAATTTCAGATTTATTTAGCGCAACCAAATGA